CCTTACTGGGCCATGCTGGTGGAGGAGGAACAACTTGGACATATCCAAGCTGGCGAAGACAGCGCTGCGGCATGTACGCCTCTACGATCTCACGATACTGAATCAGTCCCGTGTAGAGGGTCCTGGGTACCCTATTACTAGGGTTCTGGCCGAAAGGCATCCAGTTCACCTGCACATTTTTTAAAATTAGTAAGATTCATACAATAAACACATCAAACTATAAAAGTAGAAATAATTTAAACACTTTACCTCTAATGGGGACATCCTGTCAAGCAATAACCGTATCGATCGCAGGCGGTCAATGGACTTCTTCTCGACACGCGGACTCCACGCACAGGCACGTGGCTGGCCATCCCCAATAGGAACCGGGTCGCGGTGTGGTCGAAACGCCGGGAAATACTCGTATATCCACGTCTGTAACAACGTCATACATCCAGTGATACCTGCCGCATCAGCCCGGCTCGAGAATCCTAACTGGCGATACATGTACGCTAATGTAGCCGACCCCCAAGAAAACTGGCCTACTCTGTCGGGCTCACACGCGTCAACTATGTCGCGTGGCCTGAGCTTGTTTCCGCTCTTATCCGGAAACAAGGTACACCCGAGAAGAAGAAAAACATATGCAGCCAGCTGTGTGTCCTGCGTCCTACGTGAAGTGGGGTGCAAACATCGCTGCAAAACTGCTGCGATCTTAACACCGCCGTGATCCCACACACCAAGTGCCGCTGTGTACAGCGCAGCCCTATCCACCGCCAACAGCTCCGCCAATAAATCTGCCTGATCCGCATCTGTGACAACAGATGCTCGGTTTCCCTCTACGGGAATCCCAAGGATGGCCTCGACGTCATGCAACATGATCGTCATCTCACCGAACGGAAGGTGGAAAGAGTTCGTGTCCGGCTGCCATCGCTCAACGAAAGCCGTGATCAGCGTCGAGTCAATCCTCTCATGCATGGTGGCAGGAAGGTGGCTCACTCTAGTGGCCCTCAATCGGCCGACCATCTCGCTCTCCTCCGGCCAAGCCTCAGCCCAACTACACAAGAAGTTACAAGTCCTCTCCCGGGTTTGGCATTTCAAAATGCCGCTATCCAAAGCCCGCTCTTGGTCCTCCCAAATACGGGTAGCGATGTGTCCTAGAAAGCTAGGAATCACACTCCCGTCTATAGGTCCCCCAGCCACCTCGCCCCTCACCACCCAAGAATCATTAACGGCCCTCGACCGTTTTCTGCTAACCGCAGACACAGTGGACGCAGATGATGTGCCAGATCTACTAACAAATCTACCATCTCTACCCTTACGCACGTCTACCCTACGCGTCTCATACACATCATCAAGCCTCTGACTGAATGGACCGTAATCATCATATGGTCCACTCTGATCGTCCACATCCTCATCTGCATCCTCCTCCTCCTCCTCCTCATCACCATCATCATCTTCATCATCCTCAGAATAGTGCACCCGTTCTCTACGAGCCGAGGCCGAAATACCACGGGATCTAACGTGTCTGGGCCCCGAGCTCTCCATTGAGTTCATCGTACTTCTCATAATGTCCATACTCTTCCCAGCCCCAGAACGAAAATACGATGCCTAACACAAAATAACAAAACATGTAATATGCAATATAAACATGTAATATAAACATAAAAAAAGTAATTAAAATAAATAAATAAAACAATATACATATGATGGAAAATAAATTAAAAACATTACAAAATATTAACAACCTAAAAATAAAAAAATTAATAACCTAATAAATAAATAAATAAAAAATTGGAAAAAACAAAGCAAAAAAAAAAATTACCCAAAAAAAACAAATTGGAAAAAACAAAGTGAAAAATATAAAATTATAAAAACTTAAAAAAAGAAGAACATCAAAATTTTAAAAAAAATTTATAACAAAAAAAAGGGAACATAAAATTTTTTTTAAGTAAAAAAACTAATTCAAAAAAAAAAAAACAAGAACAATAAACAAGAACATAAAATTAAAAATTAAAAAAAAAAAAGAGGAACATAAAATTTTTTTAAAAAAAACCAACAAAATTTAAAACAAAATAAAAAAAAAATCAGAAACATAAAATTTAAAATTAAAAAAAAGAAAAACAAATTTAAAAAAAAATCAAAAAAAAAATAATTATTTTCGAAAATTAAATTTCAAATTTAAAACCAAAAAAAAATTAAAAAAAAAAAATAAAAAGGCGGCGGCGCCTAGGCCAGACGCCGTGACGGTGGCGGCGGCGTCTAGCCCAGACGCCACTACCACGGCGGCGGCGCCTAGGCCAGACGCCGGTGCCGTGGTTCTGGCGCCTGGGCCAGACGCCACCGCCACCGTCACGGCGTCTGGCCTAGGCGCCGCCGCCGTGGTAGTGGCGTCTGGGCTAGACGCCGCCGCCGTGGTGGTGGCGTCTGGCCTAGGCGCCACCACCGCCTCCGACCTTTTTTTTTTAATTTTTAAACACAAAATTAATAAAAAATACCTTCTCGCCGGAAAACCGCTGTCCACCCGCCGCCTGTGCCGCCACTTCCTTGCCGGGCCGCCTCGACATCGCTCGGAAAGTTTTTTAGAGAGAGAAAGTGGAAGTAGAGAATTGAGAGAAGAAATTGTGTTTTTTACTTTGAGGGCAAAAGTGACAATTCACTCTAATTTTGTGGGCTTTATGTGGAGATTCGCGGGCGATGTTTAGCAATTGAGCCCTTTATTACATGCTTATTTTTCATTTTGCACGGGAATTAAGAAAGTTAAAGATTCGTTAAAAGTAATAGTTTAGAGTATAAATAGCATGTGGGGTTAGATAGAGATAGAGAGAAAGAAAAAGTGGTTGGGAATTAGGAGAGAGAAAGTATTGGAAATTGATGTTAACGTACAAAAAAGAAAAAAAAATGATGACAAATCATCAAAAAGAGAATAATACTGTAAAAAGTACAACCTATAAATAGAAATAGACACTTAATTTTGGTCACCCAAAAAAGAAATATAGACATGTAATAAAGGGACGGAAGGAGTATTATTTTTTTATTATATTTTTTTCTCTTACATTCATTACTTTTAAATAAAGTATTAACCCCACTATCTTTTCTTTACAATTTTTTAATACTCTAATTACCCCACTTACCTTTTATTTTATTTAAGTCAATTAAATTGCCTAAAACTATGTGCCGGTCAAACTGTAACACTTACAAAAAAAACAAAAGGAGTACTAAAAAAAGAAATATATTAAATACTTTTATGATTACCACATTTTAATCCCAAAACTTGCACTCCTACATTTCAAAGGCCCCTCAATTGTTATGCTTAGGGGTGATAATGAGACTGAGCTATTTGTGAACTGTTTGAGCTCGGTTCAGTCAAAGCTCAGTTCGACGAGGCTCAACTCGGGTTCTAGATCGGCTCGGAACCTTAATGAGCCAAGTCGAGCAAGTCAAAGCTCGGCTCGAAAAGCTCGTAAACAGGCTTGATTAAAATATAAGAAGCTTATATATATTATAAAATTGTTGATAATTTTTTTTATATATATAAAAATATGGATGTATAAAATCTAGACCTGACAAATGGGTCATTCGGGTCGGGAATGGGTCGGGTCATTTCGGGTTGATTTCGGGTCGACTGATAATCGGGTCGGGTCGGTTTGGGTTGGGTCAATTTTTGGGTCGGGTCAGTTCGGGTCAGGTCAATTTTCGGGTCCAATTTCCGAGTCAAATTCGGGTCGGGTCAACTTCTAGTCGAGTCATATTCGGGTGATTCATTGGGTTAAATTCAACTCTGTATATATATTTATTTATTTATTGACGAAAAACTCACTATATTTATTTATTAAGAATCACTTTCAGGATCTCGTGAAACTAAGAAGAACTAATTGAGTTATACCTCACTCTCTTATTGATCTTAGTTTAATACGTACTCTTATTATCATTGTCATTGTTGTAATAATTTCTTTGAATTATTCTTGTACTCCCTTCGTCCCAAATTACTCTTAACGATTTGACATTTTGCACTATTCACACATCTCACTTTGACCATCTTTTTTAGCTATTATATGAAAGTCAATGTAGTCATGTAAGATGTTGTTGGGTCTATTTTAATGTATAATTTCCTAATATAAACTTTTTATACTACCTCCGTTAACTTTTATTTGTAACTTTGGGGTATTATTTGTGAGATATAAAATATTCCAAAATTACAAAAAAAAAAGTTAACGGAGGTAGTAACTTATATAATTATTTACTAAAAGAAGTTAAAGGTCGGGTCATTTTCGGGTCGGGTCAACTTCGGGTCTCGGGTCAACTTCGGGTCGGGTCGTTTCGGGTTGGGTCATTTCGGGTTTCGGGTCAAGGTCGGGTCAGTTCCACTTCGGGTCGGGTATGGGTCGGGTCGGGTTACTTCGGGTTTTGGGTCGATTTCGAGTCACTTGGTTTCGGGTCGATTTCGGGTTATGGGTCGGGTCATTCGGGTCGGGTCATCGGGTCTGGGTCAGGATTGCCAGGTCTAATAAAATCTGATGCAATTACATGGTGGAGTAGTATACTTCGAGCAGTAGTATTTAATAAAGCTTTCAATATTCATTCATTTATTAAAAAAATACAAGTAAAATAAAAAATTTGCATTGTTAGTGGGGTTTGGTGGTTTACAGTTACAGCTCATGTCTTGATTAACTTGGCTATAGTTTTACTTTTACCTCATTCTCAATTTCTCATTTCTCACGCACAGCCGTCACTCCGTCAGGCTCACAATTTCACCAGCACAATCGTTCAACTCACAGCATGAACACCACCTGAATATAAATTCGAGTCTGGGCTCAAGCCAATAATAATTTTTAAAAAAAAAAATGAACTCGAGTCGAGCTTCGAACCGAGCCGAACCTGCGTCTTGTGTCACGAGCTCGAGCCGAGCCTATCTTTCGATAGCTCGTCGAGCTTCGAGCTCGAACCGAGCTTACATCAAGGCAAACGAGCTCGAGCCGAGCCTACCACTATTCGGGCTCGGCTCGAAGGTTTAGCACCCCTAGTGCCTTATGCTCTACACTTTTGACTTGGGGAGACTAATGTTTACTCTTTATGATCTACACTTTAGACTTCCGACAAACATCCAACTTCAAGCTTTGTCTCTCTCCCTTTTCGTATTAATATTCGGAGCAAATAATGCAACAACAATCTCACGATCTTTGCGTTTCTAAAACCGAGAATGATTCCGAACAGGTTATCTCTCTTGATTTAATCTATATTGGTTTTTCAATTTTTTAATCGATATCTGATTGCTCATCAATTTTGTGATTGCTTGAATTTTTTTTTTTTTTTTTTTTTTTTTTTTTAAGTTGATTAAATATGTTTATTGATAATTGCTTGAACTTTTTTAGGTACGTTTCGATTTTGATAACAACTGATGATTTTTGCTGGAATCTTATTTGGGTATTTTTTATTTATTTATTTATTTATTTATTAATTTTGCTTTTGTTCTTCTGTGTTTGATTTTATTATATGTTTTTTTCCCATCAAAAGCTTGAAATAATACTTATTCAATGTCTCTCAAAAAAAAAAAATACTTATTCAATGTTGTGGAATTGATTTTGTATTAAGTGATAATCATGTGATTTCTTTGATAGCTTCACTGAATTTAGCAAGGATCAAATTCTTGTTGATTCTTACAACTTTGGGTATATTTGTGATTCTTATTGTTTACAAGATCATGATGTGTGAACACACTGTGTTGCTTGGATTTGGGCACTCGTGTTAGACATGGGTACATGTCCAAGTGTTCAATTTGACTATGTAGTGAAAACATTTCATGACTTTGGTCCAAAGTAACGGGTCTAAGTGTCGTACTCTTGTCCGAGTGTTGAGGATCTGACATGGTATTTGAGGGAAGATGAAGTGTCCGAGCAACATACCCTGCAATAATATGTGTTATTGTGTTGTATGCTATGATTATTGAAGATAAGTTTTAAAAATGTGGCAAATTGTAAATTTTATTAGTATTCATTCTTATTTAACAAAATGTGGGAAAGCTGAAAACTCGAGAAATTTCCATTCTTGTTTTGAGGGCTTTGTTTTTTTGTTAAACATGATGTTTTAAGTTTAGAGTTGAAGCTAAAAAAGGTATAGACGCCTTCAATATCAGACCTTTATTTATCTCTTTTACAGTCGACATTATAGCGTAGCTAATTTTTGTGCTTCTTGAAGAATGGTTTAGGCTGATTGGTTTAAATGGAGCAATCATTGGAGCTCATTATTTTGATATGAGATGGATATAATTAGAGCGTAGGTAAGCTTGAGGATGTAAAAGTTAATTTTGAACGACTCGTACCTCACATGAACATATGGCATGATACTGGGATGAAACAAAAGAAGGGAATTTATAAAAGTATCATTGATTGCTTTACTGATTTGAAATTTTTTGGGATTTTAAGTTGGTGATGGTGAAGAAGCTGGAATGTGTGATGGGTGTATTGCCGTATTGGTGTATATGTGTTTCTAATTGTTTAAAAAACTAGAAAGCAGGAGAGTCCTAGATACATGTAAATACATGTTGCTGTAATGATCTTTGAAACTATTCCCCTTGTTATGAAATACTTCCCTAGCTCCTCTCCATTAGATATATACTATTTTAGAGACCTTCATTAACTTGGGAATCTCTTTCTTCATCATTAAATCTGTTTGTATTATATGTATCTTAAGATGGGCAGTGATATCATGTCAAAATAAATTTTCTCACTGTTTTAAGTGATCTCTCCTTCCCTAAATCGAAGCTCTATTTCTCCCAAATTATTGAACCTTATTAAAAGCTCCCTTCCTCATTTGGGTGGAAGTTATCACTTATACACTTTTTATCAACAAACCCCCTTCAACCCCCACTGGACTTTCTCTCACTTACCCTAAAAATAACAAGCTAGGGGAAAAAAAAATAAAAAAATAAAAAAATTCAACTGCTAATCAATAATATATACTAGAATTTCTCTTCTAATCTTGTGCTCAAGAGAAATGTGGCTTTTATTTAAGGACGAACGAAGAAATTAGGTTTTATTAATCACTTAATTATTTATTTGACTAAAATTCTATGACTAGTGAATCCTTAAATTACCGTTATTATTTTGATGTTATCGACTACCATAACCAGTACTCAGCCTAAAATGTCGATGAGTTGTTTCGGTACAACAACTACTCTTCTGTAAAAGTGAACCAATACCCTCAAGCCCTCAACTAACAACTAGTAATGTCAAAAGCATAAGCTCCAACCTCCAAGATACAATAATCAAATAGAATAAATATGCAACATGTCAACAAAATTTCGTTTAAAAAATAAAGCACCAACCTAGAACTTAATAGCCAAATCAACAAAATTAAACAAGTAAAACATTTAAAACACGAGGAATAATAAATAGGAATTAAACAGCCAATGGCCAGTAAAAGTTGATTATGCTAATTTAAAACAAGTTTAGTCCTTTTATTATGCTAATTCAAGGATGGGAAGATTGGTCTGGGAGGAGTCATGAGGGACTGTGTGGATGATATCATGGCTGCTACGTGCTATGTGGTGAAGGGTGCGGGTTCTGTCAAAGTTGCTGAGGCCATAGCAGCTAGACATGCATTGCAAATTGTTGTTGAGGCTGGTCTTACACGCGTGGAATTGGAGACTGACAGTCTTAAACTGTTTCATCAACTTGACCAGAAGAAATATGAAAACAGTTGTTTTGGTCTTATTGTTTGTGATATTTTAATGTTAGCAAAGCTGTGATGCTCTATTAGGTACTCTCATGCAGAGAGGAATTGTAACAAATTGGCCCATAAGCTAGCACAATTGAGCAAAAACTGTAATGTATTTCGTGTGTGGATTGAGGATGTGTCTCATGAAGCTACTAGTTTTGTATTAGCTGATTCTGCACTTTTGAATTAATAATACTCCCTGCTTTCTGTACATGATTAGGTGGACCAAAAATTATGTTTCGTTGAAACGAATCAGATTTGTAGTTTGACGGATTTCATATCTTTTCGACGTTGGAAGGATTTCATTCAAAAGGGAGAGGAAAGTGAATCCTACACTGATTATTTCCCTTTCCTTCCTAGTAAACATCTCCAAACAAGGGGATATGGATCCCTCCGGATTCCCCTATCTAGACAAATGTAAATCCACAAGTAATTAGCTAGTCTATGATAATTGGTAGCAGTAATCAGCCCATTTTCAAGGAAACTGAATAGTATTAGAGTAAGATGATAACCAATCAGCCCAAAATGACCCTTGTTCTTTTTGCATGAACTTTGTTGATTAAGTCTACAGATTGTGGTGCAGGAGTGAAATGTTATTGAAATGTGTTGTCTATGGTTATAGATAATGGTTCAAGAATGAACTTTTATCAATATACATAGTGTACCTGATATTTGGGCTGTAAAAGTCAATTAAAGACTTGCAATTACTAAGATCAAAGTTTGATAATGCTTAGTTCAATTCAGAATCAGTTTTTGATTAGATAATGATGAGATCAGAGGAATTTCACTGAAAGGGGTGTTACATGTAGGTGAATTCTTATGATTTGCATACAGTTGGTGAACAACAGTGAACTTCAGATTCAAAACGGGAAATCCCAAAACTTTCTCTTCAAATTCCTATAAAGCCTCTGGTATATACAAATTTTCAAGGTGGGGTTCACTTCAGCCTCAAATTTCATCAAAATGTGGTGCATCATCTCCAGGAAGTATCCTACGTGGTTTAAGCTTCAAGAAGAAAAGTAATCCTCCTGATGGTGAGAAAAGCCGCCTCTTAAATTCAAATCCACAAGCAGTCGCAGGAAGTTCATCTTTGTCCAGGGCCATGTGGGGGACAAGATGTTCTTCCCTTTCAGGACCTGCATTTGAATCATCCCCTTCAGTTACTACCCCTGCTTCTGCAAGAACTGCACGTGAAAATCAGAGATCATATGTAGGTTATTACGTTCTTTCCCTTTTACAAAGTATTTTTTTTATTTAATTTTATAGTATGTAACATCTGTATGCAGTTTTTGACCGTATGATCAAGCTTCTCCATCTCATGTTGGTCACTTACTCTAGACATAATGTACAATTCCTGAAAATGATACACTTGAGTCTTCGTCTATTAGAATTAATGATTTGCACGGTTGCACCCTTAGGTTCTGAGATTTTCTTTTGGTTCTTATGCCACTACCATGGAATTTTTTACAAAGAATCTTCTTCATGTTCCTCTAACTAGCTTGATTTTAAAACTACGGTGATAGAGATGAATTTCTAATTCAGTTTTGGACTAGCAGAAAGGGGCTGTTCATAAAAACGTTACAAGGTCATTGTCAGTACCTGGCAGAAATATTGTTATCGTGAGGTCCCCATCATTTGCGGCAAGTATTGTGCAGAATCAGCCTGATCATCCTGATGGTAAGTAATTTTTTTTTTTGTTCGTGTTTTTATTTTAATTTTTTTTGTAAGTCCTTTGTTTTTAGTAGTAGTTACGTGTATCAAAAGACAACACTTTATTAAATTTTAATCTCTTCGGAACTTGATTTTAACATAAAAAATGTGCAAATGAGGGAGTATTTAGATTCTGGGCCTTTATATCCAGTATTCTCAATAATTTTCTTTGTAAACTACATTAATTAACAATTTCTGCTCTATAGAACTAAAGATTCATAGATTTCTGAAATACATTTTCTCAACGCTTGAATTTAAGAAAAATATTGCGCAAATTGCGCTGTTTTACGTTCAAATACATTAGGTTTCACTTCATTGGGATAAGTAAGAGAATAAAAGATCCAATATGCAAGAGAAATATGAATATCTCCATTTCAAATAACTCTGTGAGTAAGAAAATTGCCATCCTAAAGCTAATAAGATACATATCACAATTATATTTAACTTAAACTAACAACTTTCTAGGCACTTTCACATGCCTCATACAGTATACATTAATCATCACATAATATACCTTTTAAAACAATTACTCTCTGTATCACCTTTAATAATATACCTTACATAAGAATTGTGAGAATAAAGAAGAATTTTACAACAAAAGTAGTAAATTACCCAAGTATATTTGGTTAATCACATGTTGACTTAGGGGTCTACTAGAATTAATCTTCTACTTTTTCTCTCTCTCAAAACACTCTCTCTCTCTCTCTCTAAAGTCATTTACTGACTTGACCGTTGGAGGGGCATCATCGGGAACATCCCTTGTTCCCCCCTAAAGCAGTTGACTTTCGTGGTGTGACTCGATAGGCTCCCCCGTTTTCACATCAGAAACATAAACAGAACCAAATTCTTACCAAATAGTAACGAAAGACTACCAAAAGATACAATATTCAGGGCTAAGCAACAAAAAAAGAATGGAAAATGTAATATAGGATAGAAAAGAGTCTATAGCAATGTGAGTTAAGGGGCTTTATCCCATTCATTATATTGATAGAGGGACTCAGGGAAGTGATTTCAGGAAGTCTTCGTTGTAGTTGGTTGAATTTTCCAGTGTAAATTTAATATTGTAAATGGAGGATTTATACGAGTTACTTTTTCTTACAGAAAAGGACTGTTTTCATAATTCTAGTGTTTGATTATCTGAAATATTTTTCTGTGTCGAGAGCTCACTGTCAATCGCTCATTTATCTTACTGTAAATTCTACTTTATACTGTATGAATTTGGCTATTGTTAAAATTCTTGTTGTACTAGGATTTTGGTCTCATTTATCTCTCTGTCTTAATTTATTGTAAATTGTATATGTTTATTTTATTCTACTTTAATTAGTTATACTTTCTTCTTAACTTTATATATATACATTCTGTTTCCTCATCTTTAGTTTGCTGTGCAAACTTTCTCCTGTAAGCATAATTTACTTTCTTAAGGTTTCCCAAACCTTTCTAATTTTTACCGCCCCACATTTTATTTTAAATGTTATTTAGTCCCTTTATTTTGTGGGTTTAGGTGTTATTAGTGTAATTTCAATATTCATATTCGTAATACCTAAACGGAACACATGCATATAAATAACATGGATCATAAAACAAATTAGGAATACAACCTTTGATGCATGTTTCCAATGTTACGTTCGAGCTCTTGCTTGGAGATTAGAGCCTTACACATTGCTCCTCTGTTGTTGTTCCACACGCACGGATCAATGAATCTACCTTGCGTTTAGGGAGAAAGGGAGCGCTGGTTATAAGTGAGAGAGAGAGAGAGTGAATAACATTCTTTGTGTTGTGGAATAATTCTACAATATCTCTCATTTTTATCCATCAATGTATGTAATCTTATTATCAATTTAGAACTAACTCCCTTGGTTTACTCCTCTCAACCGACCACTAAGCCCAAACATGGGCTTGATGTGTTTGCTTTGACCCGTCACTATTGTGTGACTCATATAGGATCCAGTTAATTATCAGTGAGCTAATCGTCCACAGATGATAATTGGTATCTAGCAAGACATTATGCCCACCAAAATATCAGAACTAATTATCCTGTTATCCCCATAATGATCCTTTATTTAGTAATTGCAGTAAAAATTGAGGCCACATTTCCTTCATTAACATCTCTTCTTAGCCTTTGAAATTTCCTCAAATTTTAACTTTATAATTATTTTTTTATTTCCATTTACACTGCCATTAGCTCCCTGTGTTTTCTCTCGTTTTCTTCCACTCTCATTCTCGCACAGTTCCTTATAATGATTTATTTCAGCCTACCCTAATCACTTAGAGCCTAGTGTTTTGTTGTTGTTGTTTGGGTAATGGGTTACATACTTACATGTCCGTTTGGCATACTATTGTCAACCGATAAGTATTTCGCTTCCTGTTGCCAGGGTAAGAACTATGAATTTATGACTGCTACAAGTTGTTAAATGTAATAACTAATTTTTGGGTCCAGGTGACGCCTTGAGTTATATCATGTTTAATAATAAATATGCGTAAATACTTTTATCAAATTTTGTTTATCATATGGTCATTTATTAATTTAATTGTATGATGATGTGGAATGATAATCAACTAAGGAGGAAGAGTGGCAGTGAATGGACTTGCCTAGGAGTGCTTATAGATTGTATAGTATAGATTTATTAGTGTTTGGTAATATATATGGGTAGATGCAACTGAAACAGAAGTGAGACTTGTTTTTTTTATTTTAATTTTTTTATTTATGCTATAACACCAAGTCATTTTTGTCTCCGTGGTCAGACCAAATAACTCCTGCCTCACCTGGTTGTGATAATGATGAAGAGATTCCTGAAGATGAAGCAATTTGCAGGATTTGCTTCGAGGCTTGTGAAGAAGAAAATACTCTTAAGATGGAGTGTAGTTGTAAAGGTGCCCTACAGTTAATACATGAAGATTGTGCAGTGAAATGGTTTAGTATTAAGAGAAATAAGATATGTGATGTATGTGGGCAAGAGGTTCTTAACTTACCAGTGACCTTGCTTAGAATTTCCTCTGATGTGCAGAGGAACAATGGACCAGTCCAAAGTCACCAGGCTGTAACTTCTCGATCATTTAGGTGAGTTTATATTTTTGATGGGTATAACATAGCTTGTATTACCTAGCTGGCTGGTTCAGTTATTGTCTTTGTATGGATCTGCTCGGCTAAAACTTTATTTCTTAAGAGTTAACATGTGAATTTCCCGTCAAAAAAAAAAAAAAAGGTGAATTTTGTGTCAAGAGGTATGAATCAAGCAGTCATTTTGCTGTTTATCTAATAATGCTACTTTTGCAAATGTTGGTAATATTTTTGACATTTTCTGCAGTGCTTGGCAAGATTTTGTGGTGCTGGCCATAATAAGCATAATATGCTATTTTTTCTTCATTGAGCAGCTGTTGGTAAGACATTATTGCTACACAAACATACTCCCATGCTCATCTGCCTCTCTAATTTCGTGGCCAAATGCAGATCCAAGATTTAAAGACTCGAGCAGTTGTGATTGCAGCACCATTTGCATTTGCATTGGGCCTCGTGGCATCAATGCTGGCTGTCTTCCTAGGTAAGACATTCCTATTGAATGCGAATGACAATAGACTTATTTATCAATAAACTTATTAATGTAATTTTCCTTTTGATTCAGCAATTAGAGAGTATGTATGGACGTATGCAGCTATAGAGTTTGCATTTGTGGCCGTAATTCTTTGTATTTTCTACAGTGTGGTGAGTGTTACAAAGTTTTGGGTTTCTCTTGGGTGTTGCATGGACCTAAAAGTTTCTTAACCACTATTTTACTTGAATTTTTATGGAAAGTGCATTGTTCCAACTACATTTAGCCACTACTCAGAAAAAATTGGACAGGCTGCTAATTGATATCTTTCTCTGTTGCAGCTTCATCTGAATGCAGTCTATGCTGTAATGCTTTCATCAGTGTTGGGATTTTCGTTCGCCTTGAGCCTTAACGCGCTGTATATTCATTTTTTTTATTGGAGGATTCGTGCTGCTGAGAGCTCCACCAATGTATGATTTTAAGTTAGTAAATTGATGAAATGTAAAGTATTTATTTATTTTTTTTGAAAAAGAAAAACTATTATTTTGAGGGATGATGGTGTATTATAATTTTTGAGATTATCCTTTTTTATACAATAAAAATCCAACATTCCTTAATCTTTGGATCTATACTAAAAATCTAGGAATTGTTGGCAAAATTATTGAATAAAAGAAGGGTGCAACAAGGTTATAAATGATATCATTGTTTAATGTTTTACTTGAGAGCTTGCCTCAGTACAATATTTCTGACCTTCTACTTGTGATTTCTTTATTAAGCATGGTCTGTAAATTTATAATATTCTTTTTAATATAGAGAGTTTATTTGTTCATTTTAAGGGTCTGTTCACATTTACTTAATTTCATTTCAGTTCAGCTCCAATCAGTTCAGTTCAGTTCAACTCCAATCAGTTCAGTTCAGCTCTTGATTTCTCTCTCTTATTAAATATTCATTTCAGCTCAATTCAATTCAGTTCAGTTCAGTTCAGTTCCAATCAGTTCAGTTCAGCTCCAATCAGTTCAGCTCAGTTTAGTAAATGTGAACAGGCCCTAAGTCCATATTAACAAGCCGACCTTGATTTTCAAATTGCATCTACTCCCTCCATCCCCTTTTGATAGTCCCTTATGGACATTTTTCACGGGAATTAATAAACACAAATAAGAATAGTAAAAGTACATTGAAAATTTAAATTGACATTGGGTATACAAAAAAGTAGAGAGATAAAGTAATAAAAGTACATGGGAAAACAAAATTTATATGATAAATTTAAATTTGCACAAATATTGTTGCAAATTGGAGAGAATTGTGGTAAAAAATTAATATTAATGGTTGTTGGAAAAAGTAAATGGGGTGAACATTTTGAGACTAAAGTTTGCCCATAAGGGACTATCAAAAGGGGACGGAGTGAGTATTATATATTGTATGTAGACACTTATATTAGATATACTACCACTGCTTTTTTTTACTTGTAACAAATGAAATGTTTTGTCTCATATTAAATACCCATTTGTGCCTATAAAAAGAGGTAGTGCTTAAAATGAGGATGAAGAGTTGTGGTTAACTATCCAAGCACGTGCAACGCTTGTTTTTGTGTTAGAGCAATAGTAATGGGGTTCTTAAGGAGAGAGAAATTGTAAGAGCACCAGCATTCAAGAGGAAGCTACAATCCTTTCCCAATTTCTCTCTCCTTTTCTCCACTTGACACATCACACTCTCTTTCTTCCACATCACTTCTCACTATTTCCATCCTTTTACTTATCCTCTTTCTTAAATACTCCCTCTGTTTTTTTTTTTAATTTGCATCACTTTTCTTTTATGAGTGTTTTTTTTAAATGCATCACTTCTATATTTGATAACTTTATACTATATTTTATCATTTCTCTTTCATACTTTAAACCCCGCTCTAATTATTTTATCATTTATCTCTCCTCCATGGTCCCCACTTAAATAATAAAATTAGTTATCTTATCTCACATACATTCTCTTTCATGGTCACCATCTTACTTTTATTATAATAATTTATTCACCCACTCACAATATTTTATTACACTCCTAAAACTTTGTGCATCCTCAAGTGATGCAAATATTAAAAAAACGGAGGGAGTATTTCCAACATCAATGAGTATCCTTTCCCATTTACTCTCTCCTTTCTACATATACCCCACCATATAATCTCTCTCCTATTTACGCACTTAGTTATTATTAAAGTTTGTAAAATGTGTTTATCATTATTATTATTATTATTATTATTATTATTATTACTATTATTATTATTATTATTATTATTATTATTATTATTATTATTATTATTACTATTACTACTACTATTACTATTACTATTACTATTATTATTATAATTATTATTATTATTAATACTATTATTAATGTTATTATTATTAATGTTGTTGTTGTTGTTGTTGTTGTTGTTTTAGTTGTTGTTGTTGTTGTTGTTGTTATTATTATTATTATTATTATTATTATTATTATTATTATTATTATTACTATTATTATTATTATTAATAATACTATTATCAATGTTATTATTATTAATGTTGTTGTTGTTATTATTATTACTATTACTATTACTAGGTGCATATACCATTGATTTAGGTGAGTGAAAACATAAATATATGTATACCATATTTAACATATGTTAATTGTAGAAAGATAAAAAAAACAATGGTTTACTTATATTTATTTTACCAAAATTTTAAAATAAAATGATTTAATGAGTAATAATGATTTTACTTATAAATTTGTCTTAATAATATATTTTTAACCATAAAAATAATAATGATATACAAAGTACTACTTGAAAACAATCTCTTTTTTTTAATTCTTAAATTGTATGTAAAGATTTGAAAAATAATTCACTCAATGAACTAACAATCAATACCCACATACATATAATGTTTCTACACATTGTGAATCTAATATCAAATGTTTATAAAAGAAATTGTTATTAATTATTATTATTATTTATTTATTTGAAATAATTGTTATAATTATTAGAAATTATTAGTTAATAATATTATTAAATATTAATTCTTAATAGTTTGAATTATTAAATATTAATAATGATAACTATTATTATTAATTATTATTATGATTAATAAATATTAATTATTATTAATATTAATAATTATTATAATTATTCAAAATAATAAATTATTATCATCAATACAATATTAATTATTATTATTATTGAATATTAGTTATTATTGTTATTATTAATTATTATTTGAAAATAGAGCAGAGCAGAGCAGATTTGATTTGAGCAGAGGAAACAGAGCAGGGCTCAGCAGAGCAAAGCAGAGCAACTCTAAAGAACGAGGCCTTATTCAACTTCATCAAAGAACGGGCTTCTGCATTAACCTTTCTAACATTCTAAACTTCATGGCCTCGTCCTTTTGTTGTTTCTTTTCTTCAACTTGTGCTTTTTTAAGTTCATCTCTTTCCTTCAACTGATCCAGAAGTCGCCCACCCAAGTCATTCAACTTATCACCAACTTCGTTAAAATTTGTGTTTAACGCTTCAAGATTTATACTTGAAGATGAAGTAGTAGATGCTTTACCTTTCATCTTTGTTTGTTTTATGCCAGCAGGTCTTTTACCTCTTCCTCCAACCTCGGATGGTGAATCAGGTTGTGATCTTTTATCGCTTCCCCCACTTTCGGTTGACGTTTGTTGGCCACCGGGTAACATATTAGATTGATCTTTGGCCAAAAATGGATCCCATTTCAGATATTTTCTCAATTCTTCAAAACAGTGCAATAAATAAAACATCTTGTTGTTAGTTGCGTAATAATCTTTGTGAGCAAATTTCTCCAGATTTTGCTTAGACTCGCCACTACCCTTGGTTCGATGATGATACTCATATGCATCTACCCATTACTACAATGTAAATTGATATGATCCCATCGATTTTGCATAGATTTAATGTTTCTTACCTTTATTTCAATCCATCGGGGTTTTCTATTCTAGAACGTTCATAACGATTATAGATGTCAACCCATAACCCACTTCTCTTTGTCTTGGTTCCTCTCAGTACGTCACCCCCTGCGTTTATGTAGGCCGATACAAGTGTTTTGTCTTCATCTATGCTCCATGATTGGTTTTTCCTTTGCCCAGTGGTGTTGACATTTTGTTCGGAAACAATTTCGACATCAACATCGTTAATGTCTTCTAGATGTTGCGCCCCCACTAATTGTTCCACATGTTCATCACCACTCTCCTCTATTGGAGTTGCATTGCTACCACCAAAACCTCCCGGTGGTTCATCCATGTTCTGAGTGAAATGTTCAGAAATGGGAAAACCTGGCATATTACCAAGAGATTGTTGAGATGACGAGCTATTTTGAGGAAAAGGGAAAGAAGGTTGACATTGTGGAATATTATTGACATTTATTGGGCTTGATTGACTATTAAACCATTGCAAAGCAGCTTGAAAATGAGGATTACTCAATAAATTTGGGTCAAAAGAAGGATTATTTTGATTATATTAAAAGTTTGGATTATTTGGAAAATACATATTATTCCCGTTATTTGAATTATTACGATCCATATTGAAGGGTATTTGAAATTGAAAGTGATATGTTGGTCAAAAAAAGAAATTAGCAGTAGAAGTGTTATGAAGAAAAAATGACTTGGAGATATGGAACTGAAAATATGAATTGGAAATATGGAGAGTACTTTCTAACTGAAAATGAAAGTTTGTGAAAATATGGACAAATTATACTCATTTTATATATAGCGAAAAAAAATTTCATAAACATTGGTGTTTTTAGTTTTTCCAAATAAGTTACTGTTTACATATTATAGTTATACAAAATTGAAGCAAAAAAAATTCAAATGCAATAATATCATGACAAGTGTCATGAAGCAACTTCAATTTATCATTGCATTGCAATGAATTCACATGCCTTGCTTGTCAGCTAAGTTACCGTTGTAATATAAAATTCGTCCACTTTTTGCCAAATACATGACCCACTTTTTGTCTTTATACTTGCTCAATCTTGCGCTTGGGCCGAGGAAGTTATTTTTTCCATGGAAAGGAAACAGTGTTAAACCAACATTGGTAAGGATACCAAAAAGTATCCTAAAGTGGCTCTAAAAGGATTACAATCCTTGCCACTGTTGGTGCTCTAAGAAGCTCTTATATATTAGGAATGGGGGTTTCTTACCTAGAGTTTGCAATGCGAAGTTTCACCTATAGACCATATCTAATGGTGAGAGATGTTGGAGTTTTTTTTAGGATAGAGTATTTTATGTAAAGAATATCAAAAAGTTACTAGCAAAGACAAACCTAATAATTGAAGAGCTCTACAACCTTATTACTACCTCCGTTAACTTTTAGTTGCAACTTTGAGGTATTATTTGTGAGATATTATTACAAAATAATCCAAAGATTGTATTATTTAAAAATAAATAAATAAACTGGCGACTGGTTATATTATTTTCGGTAATTTTTCCTATTTCTAATAACCATTAAGTAAATTATAATGAACATAAAAGAATTTTTAATGAATTGATAACACGATCAATTTTTCTTTAACAATTATATCAAATACAGTTTTAAACTATAGTTTCTGAAAAATGAACATATAAAATATGAATATGACACTATTAGAATTTGAACTTATAATTTTTGAAAATAAACATGGAAAAATTGAAAAGAATAGTCCCACATTTCGCCCATCTGCTCAAAATAATCCCACCTTTTCGAATTCCAGAAATAATCCCACTTTGTCACCCCATCTTCCCAAAATGAAACTTTTACCGGTTTATGAAATTAGTAACTTGTTTTAGAAGGTGACTTGACACTTGTCACCTTATAATTGGTCTTAATTTTAAATAATTTTAAAAAAACAAAACAATTAGAAATTAAAAAAAAAGTTCTCCTAACACCACGACCACCTCCTTCATTGCCACCATCACCACCATCACAACCCCCTACCGCCATCCCTTTATCACCGCCATCACAACCCTTGTCGCTGCCCCTTTTACCACCGTCTCAACCCGAAACCCCCACCTAACCTTGAACCCGAAGCCCCACTTGAACTGGAAGGAAATGGAAGTCGGCCGACGTTTAGAATCGACAGCGAAATAGCCTCCTCCCCACCTAACCCACAAAAACCACCTCCACCCCCGATTTAGGCTGATTTGTAGGTTGAGTTGCAAATTCTAGCGCTATTTTTGTTCAAATGGGAGGCTATCGGGATTGATGTTTGGCTGATTGGTGGCACGACGCCGCTGGTGCGCTGTCGGTTTTGGTGCTTATTGGCGTCTAGTTGAGGTAGTGGGTGTTATACGGCGGAGAGGCATAGGGTTTGTGGGTTGTTTGCGAGCTGGTGGGAGGTGAATAGTGGCGTGTGGTTAAGTTGGGTGTTATTCGACGAGTGGGAGGTGATTGGTGATTAATAGGGGTGTTCAAATCCGGGTACCCGGGTTTTCGGGTACCCGAAAACCCGGGTACCCGGGTTCCGGGTACCCGAATTATTCGGGTCGGGACATAGGGTACCCGGATCTCTTTTTATTTTTCTTTTTGAAAAAAGGTTTATTTTTCTTTCTGAAAACCAATGTTTATTTCTCTTATATACTCCGTATATACTAGTATAAAATATCTCATAAAATTATACAACACTAACAATAGTATTTCTTGTAAAAAAAAAAACAACAATATTAAAATTATTAAAAAAAAAGCAAACAACAAAACAACTTTCTTATCAGTATAATATAATATGAACGTTGAACAAGTTATACAATCCCAACAAAAAACCCAATAAAAAGAGTAATTTCACGTTATTAATATCAAATCAAGAATGAATATACTAATCCAAACACAATAAAAATTAATTTAGTGCTAATTAAATTGTAAAACACTAAAACCCACAATAACATGGGTATACATATTCATCCCTAATTACTTAACAAACATACTCCATTATGTTTATTGGAAACTTGTAATCTTCTTGTACATCTAAGCATGAATAGGGGCGGAGAAAGAGAGGCCTTTGGTGTTGTTGTTGTTGTAGTCGTTGTTGCTTCAATCATACGCCTTCGGTGTTTTGTTGTTTGGGTGGAAAAAAAGAATTTCTCCCCAAATTTCCCATCGGGTATTTACCGGGTTATCGGGAAATCGGGGCGGGACAATCAGGTCCGGTTTTTTTGAACACCCCTAGTGATTAGTGGCGTGTGATTGGTGGCTGCTGGTCCGACATGGATGGAGGAGGGTGGTTGGTTGTTGCGAGGTTAGGGGTGGTGGCTGCACGGTTGTGGGTTGCAGGGTAGGAACCGAGATTGATTTTTTGTTGGTGTAGTGAAGTTGTTTGGGTGGAGGTCAGGTGGTGGTGTGGGTGGAGGTCAGGTCAATGGTGAAAGGGGGTGGGGATGAGAATAGGTTGGAATTAGGATTTTGGGAGGAGGTCAGGTGGTGGTGTGGAGGTGGTTATGGTGGTTGACATGGATGCAACTGTGAAAGGGTTGAGGTGAGAAAAGAGGAATTTAAAAAAAAAAAAAAATCTAACTTGTTTTACACGTTGAAGGTAAAAATGTTCATTTTGGGAAGATGGGGTTACAAGGTGGAATTATTTCTGAAATTCGAAAAAGGTAGAATTATTTTGAGCAGATGGGCGAAAGGTGGGATTATTCTTTTCAATTTATAAACATTGAAATTTTTAATAATAATCATTGCATTATTTAATAATGAGTATCAATAAATATGAACATGACAATATTTGAATTTGAACATTTTTTTTATTTTAAAATGAACATTGAAATTTTAAGTCCAATTTTCAAGATAATTGGAACCAAAGCAATATCATATTTTATGTACTATGATATGACCAAAAAAGTGCAATCATGTCAGTTTTAGATCGAATTTAGTAATTTGATCATATCTCATTCATTTTAAATTAGAATTGGACTTATGATATATCATTGAAAAGCTTATTTTAAGGGATCATCCATGTAATTTTTGCATAAAAATTATGAAGAACTGAAATCAGATTTACTCTGTTTTCGGGCTGTGGTTATAAGAATAGGAAATTGGGTTAAGCTTTATGAATATTGCATCTATATATTGTTATATTCATAATATTGTTCAATTTCTAATGAGATTTTTATCATTGACCTCGCATAATAATTACCTTAAAATTATTTTGAGGGGGCATAATATCTCACATTTAGTTCAAGTTCTCCTTTATAATTTACTCATACTCCTTCCTTTTATTACAATTACAACAAAGTCATCGATACTTATCATATTTTACAAACTTTTATCAATATATTTCTAATACAAATTACTTAAGATCTTATGTTTTATTTTAATTTCTCAAAATTATTTATACATTTTGATGTGGGTTAAACCATATATTACACTTTCATAACAATACCAATACATGGATTTTTTTTAGGGGGGGGGGGGGAGGGTTTTCATTTGAGAGATTTTTAATGTTAGTGCGACTTCTTTTTCCCCTTACCAATTCCCTTCCCTTTCTTCTAGTAATGTCTTCAATAAAAAAAAAAGAAAAAAAAATTCGGACAAAAAGCATCATAAAAGCAACATTTCATTCCCTTGTTTTTTCGTGGCACACTTTAATTTCCTTACAAGTACGTACCCCCAACTCAGAGAGTGAGGGATAACTCAAGTGGTTAGAGCTTCCTTCCCGATACTAGGAGATTCTGAGATCGATTGACTCTCTAAAAACCAAATAAACATACCCCCAACTCAAGGGATCAAAAAACACTTTGGTTTCTCCGATTCATCGACCTTTGTCACCTTAAACAAACCTCGAGCCTTAATATTGTCGCTATATTTCTCAATTTCTGATAGAAATCGTCGCATTGACCTAAAGACTTCTAAAAGATAAAAAACCAATAGGTAGAAGAAATAAGCAAGGAACAGAGAAAATAAGTGTACTAATGGCTTACTTTTTGGTATATTATTATCATTATCTAGCTCATTATGCATTATACTAGGTCATCACACATTTAAGACGTTATTCTTTGCATGCATAACATTGCATGTATAGTACCATGTACACATACTTAACTTATCACACTTACACATAGCTTAGCATCAACACATCAAATTTTAGCGTGGATTTGGATGAGATAAGTAACAAACTAACAAAGACATGCCAACACTAATAAGGGCCTCTTCTCATACGATTATTTTCAGTTCATTTCAGCTTTAATAAGTTCAACTCCTAATTTCTTTCTCTCATAAAATATTCATTTCAGTTCAGCTCCTAATTTCCTTCTCTCATAAAATATTCATTTCAATTCAGTTCAGTTCAGCTCAGTTCTAATTAGTTCAGTTCAGTTCAACTCATTTCAGTCAATGAGAACAATCCCTTAGTTATGTGTTGGCAAGTATGTCAGTCAAAGTGGAGCTTTTATTTTGAAACAGAAGAAATGTTGTTGATTAAGCATATGTCCACAAGAAAAACACTAACCAATTGAATTCAAAGTGAATGTATATGATGCTAGAGCAAGTACACCATAAAATCTACCCTTACCGGATGAATTTACAAGACAGAAGCGAGATGAATATGTACTAAACTAACACAATGCTAACATGCCGAACTAACATCCCTAACTAGAACAAGTCTACGACACTTACTAGTAATTTTTTTAACCATCACAATTGCACAAATTTGATCTAAATCTTACAAAATTGATGTATTGAAATTTAACTTGCAATTACCACAAAGACAAGACAACAGAGAAAAAAAAAAAAAAAAAAGGTTTTGGTATCAAGTTCTGATGGCACTGTCGCACTACCAATGGATAGATTCTCCACAATAAGCATTTAATATTCAGAAATTGTACAACTCTTTGCCAAATTTAGGGGTTTTATTCGTCCTAAACCCCTAAAAAGGTCGTCTTTCTCTTTTCTCCCACAATTTTAACACCAACAAAGCATTTCTGCTCTACGACTCTTCCAACTTTTCTGGAATTTTTTTTTTTTCAATTTCCAGATTTTACGCTCTTAGGTAACTCAATTTATTAATTAATTTAATAAAGTTTGTCTCTTTTCCTTTCAAATTCAATTTTTTGATTTTTGTTTTTCAATTTCATAATCTAAATTTTATAATTTTTGCAGAGTTGTAGTAGGTTGAAATTCCTCCAATTTTGTAGAAACCCCAAATTAATCAACCCAGATTTGTAGATTTCCACTTTCTCTCTCCTCAAATTCCATGGCTACAACTGACGTCAGCCCTAAATTCCACAACCACGAGCTCCGACCACTCCCTGACCACCCTCCGCCGCCGCCACCTCCGCCGCAGCAGCAGTTAGCAATGGATCCTTCGCCGTCGCACACGCACCACGACGGTCTTCTCTTTTGGCAATTCATGGTTGCAGGTTCAATCGCCGGGTGCGCCGAACACATGGCTATGTTCCCCGTTGACACCATTAAAACCCGAATGCAAGCTCTCGGTTCTTGCCCAATTAAAACTGTCGGTGTTCGGACCGCTCTCCGGTCCATTCTAAAGTCCGATGGGACTGCCGGGCTTTACCGGGGAATCGCTGCAATGGGGCTGGGTGCCGGCCCGGCTCACGCCGTTTACTTCTCGATGTATGAGTTTTGTAAGAAAGAATTTTCAGGCGGAAACCCTGATAATCATGTAGCACATGCTGCATCAGGGGTTTGTGCTACGGTTATGAGTGATGCGGTATTGACTCCACTGGATATGGTGAAGCAGAGGTTGCAGCTTAGTGGGGGGAATGGTGGGGCTTATAGAGGGGTTTGGGATTGTGTTAAGCTGGTTTTTAAGAAGGAAGGGTTTGGGGCGTTTTACGCGTCGTATAGGACTACTGTGATCATGAATGCTCCGTTTACTGCGGTGCATTTCGCTACTTATGAGGCTGCTAAGAAGGGTTTGAGGGAGGTTTCTCCTCATCATACTGAGGGGGATGATGAGGACGAGGGGTTGATTGTTCATGCTACGGCTGGGGCAGCTGCTGGGGCGCTTGCTGCTGTGATTACTACGCCGTTGGATGTTGTCAAGACGCAGTTGCAGTGCCAGGTGAGTGTTTGTTCTGTTTTTGATTTGTTGTTGGTGTTGATTGAGTTATAATGTTTGATTGTTTGCTTGGTGTTATTGTGGACTTAGGGCCTGTTCTCATTGAGTGAACTCAGCTGAACTTAAGCTGTGGAATGCTTTAAAGAAATTTAAAATGGGCTAATCATGCTATAAAATTCCTGTTATAAGAATATGTATAAGTGTTTTAATTCAAAACATAAATGGTAAACAGTAATACATGAATAACCTGGTTGTATTGCTTTTGGCTCCACATAACCTGGTTGTAAAGCCTTTTCCTTTCAGCATCAATACACAGATCAAGTCTAAGTCTCCATCCTCCATCCTACAATTGGGTGCACTAATAATCCCATAATGCTTTCAGCTTCATAACATGGCTGTAAAGCCTCTTCCTTTTAGCATAGATCTTGTATGTTCTTTTTTAAATGCTAATAAAAGTTAGCTACTTTGGAGAGGTGAAGTTGAGTATGAGGAAAAAGGGAACATAAGCTGATGAAAAATATGTTTAAATTTGAATCCCAAAGTTTATCTCCCATTATATCTTCTACTGCATTTGATAAAGCTATATGTTCCTTCCACTAACTCTAAGCTATCAGGTGAGTGATGACAATTTGAGCAGCTCTCCGCCTCTCCTTCTTTCTGGACTTTAACCATATCTTCGAATGAAACAGCCATGATGATTATTGTTTATCTATTGGAACAAAGCCATCGTAAGTCTTTAGGTATTAGATAAAATAAATGGGATTAGAACTTTTTTTTAAATAAAGAAAAAAGAATCTGCTCAGAAAACATTGCTTAAGAAGATGAAAATTGTACGGTTATGACAGCATTAATCCATGTTTTAATTATTGTTAACAGTTATAAATTTGTCAAGTGAGCGAATGAGTGATGATTAGGACAAACAATAGATTTTTAGGATTAGTTAATTTTAATTTTGAATTCCATTATGCCATTGCTAATGATCAAGTCTGTGACATCTTGTTAGTTAAAGATTTATGCAAAGCATCCTTTGTTAGAGGAAAAGGGGGTAGGGTAGAGCTATCAAATTAAGTGTGCGGGTCAGGTTCATGTTGGGTCTAGTCTGATTGGGTTGATTAATTCTTGCTAAACCACTCCCTTTGTGGATTGATTTTTGGTCGGTTACTTTGGGATTAGTACTATAGTTTGTTAGGTTGACAATTGATTTGCGCTTGATCTTTGTCAAGTAATGAGAGAAATAGTGTCAGTCTTTACATGATTTCCTAGTTTTACCCTAATCTTAACTTTACCTAAGCAGTCAGCAGTAATAAAATTTGAATTACTTCGCTTTCTTGTTTATTAAATGTAGATTCTGTCCAAAACAAATGTGTTAGGATATGAATGTTTGTTGTGATAGTGGACATTTTATCTTGGACATATTGGTAATGAACATAACCTTGTTTATCACAATGAAAAACAAAGATGATAATTTGGGAAAACTTCATTATCAGTATTACGTCTAATTTATATGATTATGAATGCTACCATATTGGGGATTGGGGGGTAGGGAGCATTGGTATGATCGATAAGCTTGAAGATAAAAATAATTTTTATGATAGATGTTGCAAATATCCATTGGGCCTAACTTGAGAAGCATGAAGGCCTTTGATGGAGTCCAACTGTTCAGGGTGGTATATAGTCTATATAGGAAACTTCTCAAAGGTGTGCCAAAAGACTCTTGATGGAAGTTTGAAGGAGTTTCTAGTTGGAAGTTTTTAGAAACCCTTTGGTATACTCTTTTACATATTATGTAAGCTCTTAGAATATATTAGACAGGAATTGTCCAGAATGTGCTTGTATATACTTAAGGGATGTATGTAGAATGGTTTTGGGGACTGTTGTATAACTATCCTTGTAAGGAGGCTAAATTGTTCTAGATCAAGGAAGATCCTAGGCTAGAGACTTGAGAGGCCTATTTAGGCCATGTGGCTCATTTGTACATTTGTGATCTACATATCTTCCTACAAGCTAGAACACTAAGAGTGAGGAAAACTAAGGCACAATAGTGCCAACTGCCAAGTGAGTGTGTGTTTGGGACTTTAGCAAATGTGACTGTGTGATCACTTGTCTGTGATGAGGATTGTAACGGATTGAGCTATAAACCTAAGGGTACATGCTGAATTCACTTAAAGGGAATTACTTACTAGTTAGCACTTAAAAGTTTTATTTTTATATTTATTATTTTTTTTAAAGAGCATTTCCATTAAAATAAGATCAAGGGTTAGAATTCCTTAAAATAGAAAAAGAAAAAAAAGGTAACATGTGGCTTGTGGAATATCTTTGTGGTAGTGTTATTCTCTAATGACAGTCAAAATTTATATTGTATCAATCATCTTACTTTTCTGAATAATTTCATTATTATGGATTGTAGAAGTTGCCATCACTACCATCATAAGAATAATAAATACAAAAAAAACCCTCAACCCATACTCTAAATACGATCGTCATAACAACCACCCAATTCACGGAATATAACTACTCAAATAAATCATTTTTTCTCTGTTCGTCATTGGTTAAATCATTTTAAATCACCCCACATCTTAAAATTTAATTGACATATATTACCTGTCATGGTTTAGAATAATACTAGATTTAAAATAATCGATAAAAGTATACTCATACATGCAAAAACGACACACATGAAAAGTTGCATTATTAAAGCTAACAATATGTCATTGATTTTAAAAAATTACATATTAACTTTGTATTACTTATTTTCAATTTTTTATTAAAACCTATAATAGACCGTGATAAAAAAAATTTTAAATAAAAAAATGATTTAATTTTTCATTTAAATGAAAATATTATACAATGATATTTAATTAATAGATTGTATTATTACATGACATATTGTAAATGAGATATATTATAATTGTATTAGTACATGACATATTATAAATGAGATATATAGAGAAGTACATTACATTTTTTGTTCATACATATATAATTTTTTATACTAGAATAATTTTTAACTATCAATTTTTTTCTTTCTTTTTGACATGCAAAATGTGTTTCTAGTAGCGCTTTACTCACACTAATGTCTCTTTGGTGTTCAATTTATCTTAGTTTAAAATTTAAAATTTAAGTATCTAGAAGATAAGGCACAACTTTAACACATGCAATTTAGTATAAAATTGAAAGTGCATGTGCTTGGGTTGTGCCTTAGTTTTCGAAGGTGCAAAGACCTGCAAAAGGTGCGCATTGACTATGCATTTTTTTTTATAGGGAAATACCATTGTTTAAATTAGAGGAGAGAGATATTATGTATCCTCAAATTTATTTAAAAAAAATTATTGATCACATAAACCCTTTACTTCTTTTTTCAGAATTCTTTTTTTTAGACTTTTTAAATATAAATTATGTTATTTTATAAATATTGTATGCCTCATTTATAAAGGGCGCACACTTTCATCTTGCGCTTAGGCTCCAAGGGTTTTTGCGTCTTGATGTGTATCACACCTTTTGAAATATTTTATTTTTCAAATCTGTGAATACATTGTCTTCTTCTCCAACATTATATTTGCCTCTCATTTTCTACTTTGAAAGGGAATTCCCCCTTCGTAGATTGAAAATTCTATCGTTTGAGTTTTCAACTACTCATTAACTCTCAATATTACATTATTACTATTTCTAAATTCTCTTTAAAAAATTTTATGCATTAAACTTCTCTATCAACACCAACATATTTAGATGATTGGATTATAAGTTATAACTCATAAAATGATGCAGCAGCTGTATCCAACAATTAATTATTATCTCACAAAATACAAAAAAATATTAAGAAATAATAGCTAAGTAGAAATGAGAGATAGAGAGAAGATAAACATATATGATTGGATTATGATTGGATTTTGAGCCTAAAGGGTTATGTCCCGCTATATTCAGATCAAAGTTCAGTGTTTTTTTAGCCACACTACATTATTTATAGGCATATGTACAGAGTCATATTAGAAATTTTAAAGTTGAAGCTCATTTTAAAGTAGCAGCTATAACACAACAAAGCAACATGGTTTTCCTGATAATTAGCATTCTATTGGTAGCAGGTTTGTATTTATTAGACAAATCTGAGACCACAAGGCAGCAATCTATGTGAGATCCTGTTCTTAACAAAAAAAACCTACTGATGCAAAATATCATGATATGATACAAAACACTTTAGTAAAACCTTGCTTCATCAGAATCTCCAAGTTCAAGAGCAAAATTCTGCTGTTGAACCAAGTCTATATCAACATCAGCACAATCCTATACTCAATCTGGCCTAGACAAAAAAGATAGGCCTAAAAATTGCATGCTGACTCAGGAAAATTGAGAAGCAGAGCTAGCTATTTTACTCGCAAAGAATAGCATGATTTGGTAAATTTTCTAAAAATGTAATTTTACATATGCTGAAGTGCTTACAGCCTTCCCCATGCCGCGTTTTGTCATTTTAAGTACTATTTTGGTGAAGTTTCTTTAATGAACTTAGCCAAAATTTTGTTCATTTTCTTCCATATTGAATAGGCCTAATGTAATAGCACTTGCCAAATTTATCCAACTGTCCGTTGCTCTGGACCCTATTTTAAAACCAATGCAAATGTAATTTTATGATTCGAGTTTATGTAGGTCTGATGTGTTTAAAGCTAAAGCAATGGACCTTTTTCTTTTTTTTATTATGCTAAAGTGAATTATTGAATCGTCTAAAGCTTTCATTTTTAGGATGTTTTTCTATCCTACCGACACAGTTTCATTTTTCTTGGAACGTTGTATATATTACTCGTCAATGGGTAATGATATGTGCGATGTTTAGGATTGCAAATAAGCATTTATTACAATGCTTAAAGTGATTGTAATTTAGGAATGCATGGCACTATTAATGTTTGATTTAGCTCAATTTTTTTTACCCTTTTGCTTCTTATATGCAGCAGCCTTGAGGGTACATCATTTTCTTATTTAAATCACCATTGCTGATATGCTTTTGTGGTGTTCTTTTTTCTTGATTGTGTAAAATGTCATGAAGCACTTCAGACAACCTTTCTTGTGAAGGTAGATTGAAATATCAGATTTTTCTTGCAGCTTAATACAAAACCTATCCTTAGAAATCAATAAAAACAATAGAGCCAGCCACACCTCCCTATTAATAGTAAAGCCATGTTACTGTTAAGTATAATCCTCTGAATTTTTTTGTGATTGTTTGTTGCTCCTTACTTTCTTTTTTTTTTTCAGATTAGTTTCGACTAATGACACGTAGCTTTAGGTGATATCCTGCTTAGGTGTCATTTATTATTCTTTTGATAATGTAGGTGTGGAGATAATTAGGTTTTATTTTATTGAAAAATTAGACATAATGGATGTAGTAATAATTAATCATATGAAAGTTAAGTATTGATGGTAATTTTTGAGGGAGTATTATTTATTTGTCATCTATGTTTTACTAATATCTGAATACCCCTTTTTGCCTTCCTAATGCCCAAGTATTGACTCTTGTCACAGGGCGTTTGTGGATGTGATAGATTCACTAGTGGTTCAATAAGGGATGTTATTAAAACCATAGTTAAAAAGGATGGATACAGGGGGCTCATGAGGGGATGGTCTCCTAGAATGATGTTCCATGCTCCTGCTGCAGCGATTTGTTGGTCTACATATGAAGCCGCAAAGACCTTCTTCCAGGATTTGAATGACCAAAAAAATAGCAGCAGTGTGACCTAATTTATGTTGAGCTACTCAATTTTTTTCCCACTTATTTATGAGTGCATTGCTGTGAAAGGTACAGATATTCAGTGATAAACATGGCATCATACACATATACATGCATTCTTCAGGTTCGTAGTTCTAATTGAGGAGCAGCTTCAGGCTAGTTAGAATGTCAGACTGTATTGTATCATTATGTTCAAAATTTTGATAATTTCAAATTACATTAAGTGGTTTTCATTTTGTTCCAATTCTGAGTAATAGCTGGTAGCCTGGTACAACATCAGATCTGTGGAAAAGGAATTTATAAATTACCAGTAGCAAAATAATATCTTGGTGAATACAAGAATTTTAAGGTGTTGGATATAGTTAGAAAAAGGCCTAAGTTGCAAAGATTTGTATGAATAAGTACTTATTTTTATTTTTTTAAAATTTTCTTTTTATACTCTCTTTGTAGTTTAATGTTCACAGATCATTTTTGTATTTTGGCAGTTGTTGACAATTTTGCTGTAATAGTTTGATTAATCTTGCAACATCATCTTGTAGTGCAATCGTGTTTATAATACTCCATATATCCATGGACCACGGCTACGTAGCTAATTGCTTGGAGTTGAATAGCTTGAACTTTGGTCCAGTGGTACTGTGGTAGGCATCCTCTACTAGGTGGACGATGCAATTTTGGGGCAAATATTAGACATTCACACTTGCATAAGTTTTGGACTCAACTTCATATTCGCTACAAATTAAATTTCATATTCGAATATATAATAATTTATAAGTAATGTTATGGCCAAAAAGGATGATGTTGAAATATGCCTTGAATTTGTGTTTAGGAGCAGCGAGCTATAGCTCGAGAGGTAGCTCGGTAGTTTCGGAAGCATATGGAGTTGCGATGAAATTGGAGATATAGCTCCTATGCGAGTGAGCTATAGCTTACGAAGACATATTGGTTCGAATAGGCCGAGCGATAGCTCGCTCGGTAGCTCGCGAAGGTCGAAGGTGAGATAGGGGCCGAGCGATAGCTCGCTCGACCATGAGCGATAGCTCGACTGGGGTCCGAGCGATAGCTCGCTCGATGGTGAGCGAGAGCTCTCCGTTTGTGCACGGTGGAACCCACACGATTTATTAGGGTTTCATGGGCCGTTTTTATGCACTTATCTATCTTATTTGGGGATGCTATATATATTCCTAGTTAGGGTTTATTCATAACTTAGTCTATTATTGATAATTGAAATTATCAATCTGTAATCTGGAATTTCCTCGAGATCAATAAAGCTTTTCTCTCGCCTGCCCGTGGGCGTAGCCAACACATTGTTGGTGAACCACGTAAATCTGTGTGTGCTATTTATTTGTTTTGCATTCATTAATTTGTTCTTTCTCACATCCGTTACAACAAATGAGAAGGGGGTTAAGGGTGCATCATTCAACTATGACTCGGCCAACATATGCTTTTTAAATTTTTTAGAATAAAGCTGAATATTGTATAGAACTATTAGTAAAAACGGTATAAATTCATCCACGATACCCATCAAAGCATAAAGAGGTGAGACCTTATCAGTTGCAAACTCTGCACTTCTGCAGTGAAGAGAACCGGGGGGGGGGGGGGGGGTGACTAAGACAAAGACAAAGACTAACTTACAAGACTAGTATGCAAAATTGCAAACTCGACCTATTACCAGTTGGTTGTAGACTTGTAGGATTGAAATTGTAGTGACTTTAAATCGGCCAAGTGTGTTTATACTCCCTTCATCTCTAAATGTTCTTCCCACTTTGACTGTGCACATTTGCCAATGTAAAACTTTAACCATTAAAATTATTAGTTGCTCATTAGTGAAAATTTGGAGACAGAAGGAGCATTTTATTAGTAGTATTCTCTTGAGATCAGTGATAAAGAGGTGACATGTGGTCTAATGGAAGTCATCAAATGTATTGAAGTTTGTGTAAGACTCCACAATTAGGGTCTGTTCTCATACGTTGAAATTCAGTTCAGTTCAGTTCAACTCAGCTCAGTTCAGTTTAGTTCAGTTCAGCTCCTAATTTCCTTCTCTTATAAAATATTCAGTTCAGTTCAGTTCAGTTCAATTCAGTTCAGCTGAGTTTAGTCAATGAGAACATGCCCTTAATCAAAGTGTAAACACAATGAAGTCCAAGGGCTATAACTAGGGATGACAGTAAATCTGGACTCGACCCGGGTCCGTGGATACAGAATCGTTTTTCACGGATATAGGTCTTCAAATTTTAGATTCGTCAAATTCGAAACCTGCTGGAAAAAACAGATCTGGATCCGGGTCTAACCTCCAGACCCGGATCCAATTTTGTTTACCTGTTTTATAATTTTCTTATTAAAAAAAACTACAATTGTTTGTTTTTTTTTTATTAAAAATGTTGATGATGTTCGTATAAAAAAAATAAATAAATAAAAAATTGATGATTTAGGATGCTCACGTGGTATACATCATCGTTGTTTTTTTGCTTGCTTATTTGTAACATCGTACTTTTTTTCATTGTTTATACTCCCTCTGTTTTTAAATACTTGCTCTATTTCTCTTGGACACGCATGCCGATGCTAATCTTTGATCACTAATATCTTTAATTATCAATAAGTATATATTATAACAATTGAAAATTAATAATCTATTCATTGAGATGATTCCGACAAGTACCCACAAGACTATATTTTTTCTTATGTATAAATCACAAACATTAGTCAAAGTAGGACAGATGAATAGTGCAAAAAATAGAAATGGAGCAAGTATTTAAAAACGGAGGGAGTATATATTTTTTCAAAAGAGAAGTGTTTAAGTTGGTTGCTTTGTAAATTTGGATTAGTTGTATAACTTTAATTTAGGTTGATGTTGCAGAAGTTTGAAATGCATTTTTTTTTTACTCCAATATTACAAAAAACTTGATTTGTTGGGCTATACAGAAAATTGGAAAGCCGATTGGTTCTGACAAGGATTCTATCTCCCAGGTTATAGCGGAGACATTCCTTGAGATCGGTGCAAATAAGCTTCCTTGTGACATCTTTACAAAGAGGGCTACTCTTAACACCAATGAATAACGATGCAGATTGTATAAACTCATTCTTAATTGATAAATTCCCTAGTGCTTCTGTTACCTGCAAATTAAAAGCTTTGACATTATACTTAATGATACATTACATACAATTAATAAGCTCTGTACTGGAGGAATGAGTCCTCGTGAGTTGGTACGTAACCCTGTAAGGAATAATTTCAAGCGTTAACCCCTAGCTTGAACCCCACTGTGATCATACACTAAAGTACGGTGGCGTCCAAAAGGGAAGAAGATAGAGCAAAAGAGTCGCCAACAAGTTTTAGGAACTTGTAAACCGTTCACAGGGTGAAGGTTACACCCCTTAACGATCCAAGAGATCGTCAACTCCATAATGTCTAGAACCAAATAAGGGTTCGGGGATGAAGGTACAAATCCAACCTAAAAGAGATTGAACCTGCCCTAATAATAGGCCTCTACTTTATTCTGATCGTATTCATGTGCTCTTTCTAATTAACATGCAATCAATGAGATTAACCCTAAACCTGTTTAATCTATGTTGGTTGAATTTAATGCACAAATAAACTATTATTGGCGATCACTTGAATTATAATCAAATTAACCTAACAAGATTATTAATTATCTTATTAAGCGTGATATTACAACTACCAATTCCCTTTAAACATGCATAAAAGGTGTGATCAAGCAATAAATATAAATAATATCAAGCAACATAATAAATAATCAATATCATGAATAATAATTATAATAATCCTAATAATAATAATATCATCATAAATAAAATAATCATCATCAAAATAATAATAATAATAATAATAATAATCATCATAAATCATAACAATTATAATCATAATCATATTCATGTTAATATTAAAGCATAATAATAATAGCAAGATCCTAGGCATGATACTAACAAGATTAATAACAAACCCTAGCATGTCACAAAGCAATAAAAATCAAATCTTTAACTCTAACATGATACTAACAATCATAAATATTAGGAAGAACATAGGAAGCATCGCAGGAATCATATTTAATATTAAAATTACCCTAGACATGATACTAGGAATATCATAAGAACAATGTAAACATGATTTCTACATCATAATATCAATAAATCAATTAAAGCACTTACTTTGATGCCTCGTACCTCTTTCTAATAACAAAATACACACGTTAGTAACTTCAAGGAAAGTAACAATCAAAACAATTAAATTAAATAATTGAAATAGAGATTTGAGACCAAACCCTCAGAAATTAAACCTTTCACCTCTAGGGCGAAGGCAACTTCGAATATGGCTAGGTGTTTCTAGATCTCGCGAATGCGGAATTTTGTATTTGAAAAAAAGTTTAGAAAAGAGAAAGATGAATTAATGAATTAAAGAAGAAAACTTGATGAGAATTAGAGAATGATTAAAGAGAGAATTAGAGAATTAATGATTGCGAATGAAAACTGATTGTAGGTGAATGAAAACAGCGTTTTTAATACATTATTTATAGAGAAATCAGCCAAAAAGATAAAATATCAAAACAGAGCACTTGGCGCATGCAAAACGAGATTGACGCACGCAAAATAAAGCTGGCGCCAGCACCAGCTAATTGGCGCTAGGCACCAATGGCTAGCACCAGGCGCCAGGCCTGTTTTTGACGCGTTTTTGAAAATCAGATAAGTTTTGCCGTTCAGGAGGATAAAATCGTATATTTTCCTCGAAAATGCTTTTTGATTTTAATTAAAACTCTGAAAAGTCAACAAAAGTCAATTTATCAATGCTAATTGAATTAGGAATGGAAAGAACCTTCTAGAAGAATTTAGAAGACTAAAACCATTCCTAATTGCATTAGGAATGATAAATCATATTAGGCTCTCCCCTAGATCATTGGGCCGCATATAAGGCTCAAACCGGGCCCAGTTTAGTAAATTGGCCATAACTTCCTCAATATTCATCGGAATTGGGCTTATAGTATATCGTTGGAAAGCTCTTGTCAAGACCCATCCAACTACACTACTATTGGACCCATATCATTGACCAACCAAACTGAATTGATTTCTTTCTTAAAATAAGTTTTCAAAAACAGAGAGAAGAGAAATGAAAAAAAACTATCCGCAACACTAGACTTTCCACACTTTCGCTTCATTCGATTATGATTCGATGCGAAAGGTACTCATCACTGGGTTTGGTTTTGGGGAGACACAAATGGGTGTCTACAGAAGCCCCCACTTTGGCTGAGTTTGAAAAAACGCAAGTTTTGAAAACGAAAGTCCAAGTAGCGATAGGGACGGAGAATGATTCAGAACGTTCTGTGATCCTAAATCACTCTTGTAACGCCGATTCCTGCAAACTAGCGTTAGTTAAACAGATAAAAGAGTTAAGAAACGCGTATCTTGCACCGTCGAGCACACGTCTCTGAAAGTAACCGATTTGCTGCTTCACTGTTTTGATGACCTCCTGCAAGCTAGAGAATGCCATCCCGCTTGAAAACCGCTACGCCCGGAACTGCTTCCAAATTTGGAAGATTGCTTCGCCTGAAACGATCCTCCTCTGCTATGATAATATTCCACGTCCAAGGGAATACTATCGAAGATTGCTTCTCTTGAAACAATCCTCATCCGCTATGATAATACTCCACGTCCAAGGGAATACTATCGAAGATTGCTTCTCTTGAAACAA